GTATTTAAGTTTTATAACTAAATAATTGGTTATGGCTCTAATTTTTTAGATTTTTAAAATTATTTTAATTTATTAACTGTCCATCAATCAATTAAATCAACATTGATAATAATTTACTTCAATATATTTATATGGTATTTTATTTTTTTCAGTAAAATTTACTCTTAATAATTGTATATTATCAGTCATATGTTATTATTTATTAAAATTTTAAATACATTTTGATTAGGTTACGCTAAAATACAAGTAAATTTATAATTTTCAGCTTAAGAAAAACAGAGATATCTTTAGATGAAATCGATGAAAAACGTGACTATTTAAAAATTGATGGATTCTTTGAGTTTGAGTAAGTAAATTAATTTGGTTTATCATATATTTTTCTTGTTTTCTGTTATTTAGGAATTTTTTAAAATTATTTATTGGTATTTACATATTTAATTATAATATATTTTCAAATTTTAAATTTTGAGTAACGCGAGGGATTTAGTGATTTTGAATATTTTACTTTTAAACGTTTAAATAATGCATTTCTAGTTAGTTAAATATTTTACTACAGAACTAATTTTGTAATACTTAAAATTATATGATCAATTTAGAATATAGGTATAGAACTTGGTAATTTTTATCAATATATTTTACCATTCCTTACATTTTATCTACAATCTTAAAAATAATATTAAAATTAATATGTTTTTGTGATTTATTTTGTAAGTCAGATCCAGCTAAATGGGAAATAAATGAATATACAATTGATTGTATTTGTAAAAATAGGTATAGTCAAAATTTAGATTCAGGTTTCAGTCAATCAAAAAGAATTTATTAGTCAGTTCGTAGAGGTTTATTTAGAAATATCAATCGTTATGTAAATATAAGTTTTTTTGAAACAGTTTTAGTCAATGGCAATAAATGCCCTCGAAAGTATCTAGTTTATTCACCATCTAAGGGTTCAGTTTATTGTATTCCCTGCTATTTATTTAAAAATACTTCAGAATTTTCAAAAAATGGGTTTTCGGATTGGGAAAGACCAAAGTCAATAGATAATCATGAAAATTCACTTTTACATAAAACATGTGTAGTTAACATGAAAAACAGATCTAAATTGAACAATATTAATGAAGCGCTTACTTTTCAATTCGAAAC